TTGTTAAGCTGTAATAATAAATCACACGATGGGGCAGCAGGTAGTAGCATAATCTTCCAAAGCCTTGCTATAACTTTTCCTGCTCCCATCCCATCAACTCCCATTTAGATAAATACTGCTGTTGAAATCCTGGCTCTCTTTCCTGACAGCAGATGTCATCCTGCTGTTGAAGCAGAGCTACACACCTTGGAAACAGTTAAAATTCCTATAGGTGCCTTGGCATCAAAACCAGAACTATGTATATATGCAGTGCTTAGTAGGTGGCCATTTATTTCCATGAATGATCAGTGCATGGTCAGCTGTGGTACCTGAGATTGGTATGCAGTGCTATAAGATTGATTAAAAGGCTTTCTTCCATCAATCGCAGGGATTCCCCTAGGAAAAAAAAAATCAAACCCCCTTTTTTTTCTTACCTCCTCCACTTCTTCAGGTGTAAGTTCTTTTCTTTTATGAGGATGCCCTGCACCAGGTCGAAATGCTCCCATTGGGATGTTAATATTAGCCTGTGAGAAGGAAATGATGATGCATATAGTAGTGACTGATAAATAAACATACAGTTGGTAAATGGCAAAACTCAAAAAAGGTGAGACAAGCCTATAGACATTATTGTGGTTTCCAAGCACTTATGCTTTCAGTGTATGCATCATCACACCACTCCTGTGGGAAAGAGAAGTGCTTTCATCTCCATTTTAAAAATGGAAAGTGAAAAAACAAAGCTACCTGGAAAGTTTTTGAAACTCTGCATTTTAATGTTCCCTGATTTCCTTGGGCTTAAAACAAATGACACCAAAGCATCTTTAGGCATCTGGGTCTGCTTTGATTTGGTCAAGGTCAAATACAAAGTGAGTGCCAGAATCAGCATTTAAGTGTAAATAACACCCAAACAACTGGACCACTCCCCCACCCCCAGTGACAGCAGTTCTCACCTCATTTAACCAAGGCAGTTGGGAAGGAAAGCCCACCCTGAGCCAACTTAAGCCATGAGTGTTTAAAAAGTGATTTTACTGACAAAATTTTCCCACAGGTGCTACAAACTGTAAATGCAACACCTTACTCCTAGAAATACCCCTCTCGGTTGCAAAGAGGATCTGCAGGAAAAGGTGGGAAGGCTTTTTAACCCTCCATCCAGCCACCCCAGCCCAGTCTACAGCAGGGACTCATGGGTCAAGGCAGGCTGAGCTGGCTCCAACCCCGGACAAACCGCTAGCCCCTGGCTTTAGCAAACTCCCTCCAGAATGATACCCATATCTGTGGCAGATAGCCAGTAGCCATAACATAAATGGGGCTTATAATAGATACCTTAAAAGTAAAGATTTTTTGAGAAAAAAATGGTGAAAAAATCGCTTAGGAAAGAGCTGCTAAAATGTATCTATTTCCTGATGTGGCCCAGCCCGGATTATTTTAAAAATCAAATGGCATGATCAACTAAATGCACAATTTACACCTATTCTTATCTTGTGATCTCAGAAGAGAAGCTGCTCCTAGGAAATGTCATCAAAATACCATGACTCCCACTGGTAAAACCAGGGGGTGAATCGGTAATGTTATGGAGCGGAAGTGGAGATGTGTTGTTGTAGTTTACCATCTGACTGATCTGCATTAAATGAAGATGAATAATCCCATCCTCCTGCTCAAATCATGGTCTTGAAGACCATACCGCAGGTTGGATAACCCCAGGAAAACAGCCCATTGTTTTCAGCAACAACAACTGTTCTGACAGCTGCAATCAAACATCAAGCAAATTAAGAATCCCTTTGCCAAGAAATAAGCACCTTTCCCTGTATTCCATTTATCTATTTCCCTTTATTTTATTTGTGGAAGGTGGTGCTGCCGTTTCAGTGGAGCTGGCAAATGTCTGTGGGGGTCACATAGTTTATAGACAACTGGGTATTCATTTCATAATGCTTTTTCACTAAGCATTACTTTAGATATTGTGAAACCTTTCATCTGCACTTCCTAAGTTCCCAGGAGACAGGGCATTTTCAGCCTCACAGTACTTAAACCATTATTTCATTTATGAGTGGAAAAAACCAGCTTTGCTATTTTTAATTTTAAGCATCTCTCCTGCCAGGCTCTGGTACCTCCAGGCAGCTTCTTTTTTTGGAATATGAAACTTCTCTGCACTTTACAGCTAGTGTGGTCATACAAGTTTGCAGAGTTGAAACATTAAGAGTTCTCTCTCCCCTTGGTGGTCACTTTGAACTCAGGCATTCCTTCCCCTTGGAGTCAGTACGAGCAGATGCCAGCCTCCCACGGCCGCCCGGGGCGTACCACAACACGGCAATTCTGATACCTTTCCCTTGCATTTCCTACTGTGATTGACAGACCAACTATACTAAAAATGGTTCAGGTAACAAAAATGAACCACTAAGGGCCAGGCTGATAATTAAATTAAATAACCTGCCCTTCGGTCTGCTTCGGCATTTTCACAGTAATCTGTGTCACACTGAAGCAGTTTGAGCTATTTTATCTGCAGCAAGTGCATTCACGTCAGAGTTTGGGCAAGACGTACGCAGACATGAAATATTAACCTGGTAAAACAAGAGCCTTTAAGACACAGGTTAACACTGTCTGGATCTGATAGCAAATGCTATGAATTAAAATATGTCTAGTGTGAAATTAAAATATGACTGATTTCCAAGCAGTTCCTGAGCAGAAGTACCAGAGTCCTGAGCTGTAAATCTCCCTCATAATCCAACACCGTCCCTTCCTGCAGATGAGCAGCCGTGTAATCAGTGAACAGCAGACCAAATTCTGTACACCGGCATAGCTCTGCAGGGACTGTGTTGTGCTGCCATCAGCACAAGTCTGCAATTTCATTTTTAACATATGTTTCAGGGCTCTTGTCACCTGTCTGCTAGGGTGGAGACAGGAGCCACAGCGATCTCTTCCTTGTCTGCTCCCCATCCACTGAAATGTTAAACAGGAAATTTTTTGTTCCAAACTTCTGAAGCTGTAAATTGTAACTACTTTGTACAGACTTTTAGTTGTGATTATTATTTTTAATCATACTAATTATTAAAACTATTGAGTTTGCATCTTCCTTTGTTTCTGGAAAGTGCCTGCTGTATTTTGGATGTCATCACTGTTTTCATAACGAGTAGGTATGTGTACTGATGTACTGGACCAAGGTCTTCCTGAACAGACCGAAAGAAAAATATCTGTTAAGCATGACATGCAACATATGTTGCTGGTTTGACTCAATTAAACTGGTACTTAGAGATGTGTTTGTGTTCTTCTTTCTGTTTACTAGAGACAGTGCATCCAGATCAGGAACTGTTGGGTCTTGAATTACTGGCAGCCATGCACGAATTGAGGGCTGTTAGGGGTAAGCTCTCCAGCATCACAGCCATTCATAGCTGTCCAGAAGGATGACTGAATAAGCTGGAAAGACACTTCTGTATAAATATATTCACGGTTTAAAAAAAAAAAAAAAAAAAAAAAGAATTGCAGGAATTTCAGAGAAACAGAATGAATGTAATTCAGAAAAAAAAATAGGAAACCCCTCACCCTTACCTCTGGGGAAAGCCAGGAGTGCTGTTTGTAGGCAGAATAATTATTCGCCAGAGCTATATACAGCTTTTTACACACTGAGACAGGGATGCCAGCAATGAATATTACCAGGAATTAACAGTACTTTTGTCCTTTATTAACCCAAATTACTCTTGCTACTTTTATCTCTCCCACATCTGCATTTAGTGGCTGTTGGCAAGGGATGATTTTAGTGTACATCTCATATGGTCAGAAGTAAGCCACTTCTGACACAAGAGTACCACAAAATATTTCAGTTAGTAAAGTGGTGTTACATTTCCATCGCTGCAGCATGATGTGCATTCGCCGGGGGATGTCGGTCCTACTATAATAGCACATAATAGCAAAGGATTGTAATATACAAATCACAATGTATAAAAGTAATGTGACATTTTGAGTCATGGTTCTCAGAGTGCTCAAAGAGTAATAGGCACCAATTCAAGTGCAAGTCTCCCTGCTGGAGCAACCTTTGACACAATGTTTAATAGATTTATTTTAAAGTTTGTGCTGTAATCTTTACCATTATTCAAATTACCTTTGCAAAAATTAAAGTTTCTTAAAATATTAAACCTGGCACTTAATGCACTTTTAAAATGGACAAACTAGAAGCATTTTTTTTTTTAAATTTAGAAGTTGGACGGTCAGCAAAAAACTAAAAAGGAGTCTAAAAATGCTTCTTTAAGGAAAACAGTAAGCCAAATTCATTCCTTAAAAATGTTTACATGTGCCTGTGGAGTTTAGATGTAAAATGTAAATACTTTTCAGCTATAAATTATCTAGATTTTGTCATTAATCATACAAATATTTCCATAGTCACTTGAAAAGAGAGAAGAAAATTTGAACTGAATGAAATCTATGGCAAGCTTCTGCTAATTTCAACAGAACTAGACTACTGTAGTTTGCATGCCTGTTCCAGTGGAGTTGATGATGATAAAGTGAATTAGCATTTTTACAGTGCCTTTCAGCTTCAGTATGCTGTCTAGCCACTGGGTAATTAATCTTCTTGATACTCCAATCCACTGAGTTAGTATTATCTTGGGGATATAGAAGACAGATTAGACTTTAGAAAGCCTGTTTTGTGTTTCTTATGTAATTTTAAGGGAATCTGAACTCAGAAAAATTTGATCGCAAGTGCATTTTACAAAACACATGAAAATTCTGTAAAATTCTGGAGCTTGGGAGCCTTTTTGGCCTTTTGACAAGTATCAGTGAGAGCATGAGCTAAATACAGTCTTCATGATGCTACTTCTGATGATGTTGGGATAGTTCTCCAGCTGTTTCTTTTACAAGCATGCAACAACCAACTTCATCCTTGTGAGCATATGCCATTTGAGGAGTGACATACAAGACTTTTTTAATGAAAACATCAGCATTTCTCTCATTTTACTTTGGCTTTTAAATAAAATGCTTCTTAAGCAGATAGTGGAAGTTGTGGGGTTTTTTCCTAAAGGAATGTAGACATGAAAAACTTCAATATCTATGCCACCTTTTTAGCATATAATTTTTCCAGCATATTTTAACTCTGTGGAAAATATAATAGTTGCAAGAATTATTTTTACTCATAATGCTGATCCATTATGCAGATGTATCACCGTGTTTTGCTTAGCTGATCCATCAACAGACATAACCTAACACTGGAAAGATGATGCAAGTAAGCGATCAACCAACCTATCTGGTCCAGTTTTTTATCAGCTCAGATCATAAGATACTCTTCAGGTCAAACTTTTTCAGTGCTTTCATATCTACCTAGCTTTTAACTTTAAAAAGAGTAATCCCCAGTTAGCACTTCTGCAGTGTTTTCTGTGAGCAAAATGCCAAGAAATGGAGGTTGAGATTTGTTATTTGATTATATTAGAAACATAAATACTGTCTCTTACCTGGATGGCTTTGACATGTGATGCTGGCTGTTTTGACATTTTTAAGACAGAGGCTTATCCCTGCAAGCAAAACGGGAAAGTGTTACAGGCTCTGACATTCTGATAGCTGGGGGAGATAAGCTAGAACTTAACCCGTGCTGCCTCTTGACAGGCATCCATTTCATCTGCCCAGCTCCTGTTTCCATCTCAGTTTCAGAGTTGCTTAGTTATCCTTATGAATATCAGAAAGAGACAGAACACCTGAGCTTCTCCAATTAATCTTTCATAACCACAAATGGAGCTCTCTCTTTCACATTAAAAACAATAATGAGTAGAGATAAGGAATCTCTCAAACCTTAATGGCATTGTAAAATAAAAAAGAATTAAGGGAAGCATTTGAGGATAAACAGTGTATGATTATTTCTGTCACAGTATGTACGTGGGAACTGTTAGAACTCTCAGTTTAAACCTTCTTTCAAATAAAGCATAGCTTGCCACAAAACACGATAAATGCAGATATAACCATTTTCTGACTCACAAATCCTTGCAAATCTGCAGTGCCTATAGACTGAAAATGATCAAGATGGTCAAACTGTAAAGTTCTGTTTGACACTTTCTAGGGTACAAAGTGGCCTCTCTTCAGAGTTTTAGATTATATAGATTCATTGATTTTCTTTAGCAATAAAATAAAAAAGAAGAGAAGTTTCCATATAGTTTTATGCAGACATAGAAATATGGACTGATACAGTATTAGTATACAACAGCCAAGGGAAGTACAACAAAGTCAAAGGATTCTGTAAAGGTTAAAAAAAAGAAAGCAAGAAAGACATTTTACTATCAGATTAATTGAAACATTGTCTCAGCCTTTTATTCCTTCATTGAGCATTAAGATTTTAACTGGACTAGACTTTCATCGAAGTCTGGTTATTTAACCTATCTCATTATAATGCAAAACAAGATAGTAAGACTAAAAACGGGAGAAATGAGTTCGCCAGAGAACTCATTGATCACAAAGTACAGCATATTTTGGCTACAATATTTAACCTGAGATGAGAAAGAAAATGTTGAGAAAAGTAATAGTTGACTTGGGAGAGAATAGTAGAAATATACTGAGAAATCAGAAATGGGCCAAAGACTTTGGTACTCCAACGAGCGTAATTGTCATATGGAGGTAGTACCAAAGAAAAGTATAAACGAGTTGAGGGTTGGTTTCAGTCTGGAATATCAGCCTGAAAGTGTATCACTGGAGCTGCATGGAAGACTTGCTCTTCCATATTCTCACATCGGCTTTAAATCTGTGTATAATGCTCAGCAGAACTTAAAGGAAAAATGACCTGCCATTAGAGGTCTCCCTCTGATTGCACTCTCAGCTGTAAAGAGTGCTGTCCAAACCATCACATAGCATTAAGTCAGAGGACGTCATCTTCATAGCTTGCTTTGGGTTTATATTGCTTCCACTAAACTAATAAATCAGAAAAAATCCCACTGTACAAAATAAAACCAGCATGCTTCCAGTGAGTTTTACATTGTGGTTTTACACTTACTTATACAATCTTAAAATCAGAGATAGTTTTAAAAACTTCAGGATTCACTTTGGGGTATGAAATCTCGGCCACTGAAGTTCATGACAAATTGCACAGATTCAAAAAGCCAAAAGGATTTACTCTACTCTCTCTCTTTCCTTTTTGAAAATCTTTCCTATGCATAGAAATAACTGTGCTGTTAACCAGTGGCTGCATTCCAAAATAAATACAAAACAATCCCCCAGTTTATTGGAAAGATAGGACTCATAATATAGAAAAGTTTAATTAATTATTCTTATCATCTTCTCCTCTTTCTAATCAGAATGAAAAATGGAAACAAAAGCACAGGAAATTAACATAAAACATTTTAGAATGCTGTGGATCTACTTTGTAAACATTGTCACAAAGAAATTCAAGATAAGAGGTACTCCATCTTGTGAGCCTGTGCGTTGCAAAAACACCAATACATACTTCTTGGGCCACCTAGAGCTAAATGGGCAAGGATTTACATTTAATATTGACTTTAAAATAAGCACAGCAACAGTGCTCCTCAGTGAGGTGCTCTGGGTTCACAAGAAGTCTATATTCAAAATGATTGTAATCAGACACCAGTTCCTAAAGACAGATGCATGATACAATTGTGTAGGACTGCTTTTGGAGGAGGTGATTTTCCTACCAGTTCGTGCTGTCCTCATTACTGCCAGAGAAATCAGGACAACAGCACGCTACTGAGTAAAAATAGACAATCTGCCCTGGCTCTCTCCCCTTTCCTCCCTTCCCTGAATTTCCTTCCAGAGCAATACTGACCATCAACCACAGGAAAATAAACCCTAGATTACAGATTCATCTATTACAAAGTGATTAGTTCATTTTTTGTAAATTCCTTTGTTCTTTTGCCACATGTCTCAGAGAGAGAGTCAAGAGTGTTGCACTGATTGTATTAAGTTATTTCTGGCATTCCAATCAGCTCAGCAAACTTGAAAGAAATCACTCTTCACCCTCATTTCCACAGCAGGATTTCACATGTACGCAGCCAGAGAAACACAGACACACACAGCCTGTATTCCCCGGTGTCGTTTTGGCCTCCCCACACCTTACCTTTTACCTTTTATGGGCTGCATGCTGAGCCAAACTTAGAAAGCAGCAGCAACGTGAGTTCAGTTTGGAGCTGTTTTATGCCAGCCTTCCCCTGCAACTTCCCTTGCTTCACAGCACAAGTACTCGTGAACAGGACTACTTGTGAAATACAGGACTACTACAGTGAAATAAATAAGTGTTTTGAAAAGAAACTTTGCAAAACAAAGGATCTATCTTCTGTCCCTCCGCTAAAAATAATTTCTGACAGGGCTGCAGCAAGATAATAAGCTGACTTATTCAATTTGCTTTAAATACGATGAGCTATCATAATGCCACCTTTTGTAATGCACACAAGAGTTGTACAGTAGCACACAGACAACAGAAAGAGCCCTCCCCCCGCCCCAGCTGGAAGCTGTCCTTTCCCCTTGCTGCGCTCCCGGCATCCAGCACAACGGGTATTTTGGACAGAGAACTGCAGTGTATTATCTTATTAAAAGGCTTTGACAGGAACTACACTACTGTGAGTCCCAGCTAGTGCAAAGAAAGAAGAGAAACCCCCACTTTGCAGCTTCCAGCCTGTTACACAAAAACTTACTACATGCTGTAGGCAAATGCAATCACATCTTCTGTGGTGCAGTTGTCTCTGCGACAGTTACCTGTTAAGCTGACAGTGAAAGAACGCCTCTCTTACCATCAAAACCCCCACGTAATATTTCACTAGCTATAACAAACATACAGAAAACAATAAGCATGTACTAGGTACTACAGCATTCAAGCTAACACATAGTCACACTTAGGAGTTTCTAGGTATTTAAGTGACTTTCTGTTTTAAATCTTTAAAGATCCCCACAGACTATGAAGCAATAACTGTAACAACCTGCGCTGAATACGCTGATACACTGCACGAGACATTACAATAAGCAAAAACACACAACTATTGCAGTCACCTTGCAGCAGTTATTAAAGAGTTTTAATAAGGGTCTTTCAAGTTTTTAATTGACCCCTTCAAGATCAGCTTAATTTACTTATATAAGAAAAGCTCCAAACCGTCAAGTATGTGCACCTCCTTTCGATGCTGAAAGAGGCACCTTCTTCCACCAGCTGAGGTACTGACTGTGATCCTTTTAATGTGTCTGAAATAGCTCCGATGCTTTCAGCCCGGACGGCACTGAGGGCTGCTCCAGGCTGGAGTGGGACTCGGCTGAGAAGTGAAGTGTAAAAGGGAATTCCTGTCATAGCTTCCAGTTGTTCTTCCTAAATATAGAGTTTGATTCACCCTGTAACTTGGTCCCCTGTGGCACTTGACCATCATAAAACCAGGGCTCAAGTGTCAAGCAGGAGGTGTCGAAGGAACACACCTTTGGGTCCTTTGCCTGCCCTCCCTCTCCCTGTCTTTTGGGGCTTTTCCCAAGCGCCGGGCATACGGGGCAGAAGAGAACACACAGCTCCTCCCATGGTGTTTGGGGCAGTGCATGCCTCCCAACTGCCACACCGGAGAAGGAAATAATTATGGAGGCGTAATTACAAAGAACTCACCCTGGAGGAACTAACTAGGGGAGGTGAGTGCCACGCCAACGTGACTGTATCGCTGCTGGGTTGGGAGCAAACTCACACAGCAGCTGCCTTGGGGTCTCGGTGCAGCGTTCTGGCACACAGGACAGCCATGCTCATGGGGACGAGGACTTCTGACAGTGCGAGGCCACAGCAGCCAGCTGCTGAGCCTTAGTGCATGTGGATAAAGAGGAGGTAAAGGAAGAGTGTGGGGAGGAGTTGCTATAGCTCATGAGAGAACATTGTTATACAGTGGTGCTCATGCTGGCTGGAGTGCTGTCTTCAATGAGGGCTACCAAAGGAGATCTGCCACAGCGAGTTGTGCCTCAGGTACAGCCTCGTCTTTCTGCTCCCAGAAGGGCAGCCTCCCGTTCACTGTATGTTCACAGGAGCAAACTTTCCTCTTTAACAGTCCTTTGCTGCACCTGTTCTCCACCTGGTCCACATCACTGATGGTGATAACAGCAGTGTCATTTTGGGCAATACAGTACCGGCCACTTGCTGCTGCTACTTGCAACTTTTAGGAGAAGGTCAACAATTTCCAAAATTAGCGACAAAGACATTTATAACAACTAGTGGTTGGGATAATGATTTCAGAGATGATTTGACCAATCACTCTTTTCATTTAAGTATCTCAAAGAGGAAGATGACCACCCAGGCCACTTCATCAAGCCTGAGACTCAGCCTCTGCTGCCCTCTTTCCCAAAAGTGCTGCCATCTGGCAGCAGTTGGTAAAGCTGATGACTTGCTCTAGGAACTCGCAGACTACTCATAGCCACCCCCTTCCTTCCCAAGCAGCCAGGACCAGATGAACACAGGACAAGCATGCAACAGGCACATGCATTTGTGTGAGGCTGAGACCTACGGAGGTAGGTAGAGCAATCAGCTCCTTCCAAGGAGACCGCTTCGCCTATTCTTCAGGAAGGCTGAGCACAGCTGTTGTCAAGTATTTTGAGGCATGAGAAGACTATTGTGCTTGAAACATGTCAGAGTTCATAACAGGGCTCATAGACCTGTCTTTTGGCTAGAATGGAGGAGTTTGTTGTCACAGTCTAAGGTCCTGCCCTCCAGGCAGTTGAGACCACATTAAAGCAAAGCTGGAGTCAGGTAAGTGACTTTACTACCTCCTTGTGAAGGTTCATATTTACAACAAAAGTATTAGAAGGCAATGAAAGAGGCAATGGTCTTGTACATTAATTTATTTCAATTTATATTACAATAGTTATATTACAAACCAGCTCTGGAATACACAGTTCTTTCTTCCATATGTCATTAATTTAGCAAAGGTAGGCCATTGTTTACATTTTATGATCCCATCATCTTGCAAATATGCCTAAGAAATACCAGCGCAACACTGTTTCCTTCACATTTACATAGCAGTGACAAGTAATTTAATAGATAGTCTTAGTGATGTGTAAACAGGAAAAGGACCTACCTCTGTCACATACCTAACACCCACAAACTATCACACTTAAACAGTATTAAATTGTGAGGAAAAAGATAATAAACTCAAGTTTTATCCCTAATATCAGAAAATGCAGATCTAAGTAGATTTTAAAGGGGAAAATAGACACTTTTACTATTATTTTGTAAAGTACCATTACCTTTGAATAACCACTGGGTTGCACAGTCCTGTGACTTGCAGATTCATCTGCTAAATACGTGCAGCAGATGATTTAGTAAGTAAATAATGAGGCATATGTGAATTTCAGTTGATGGATTGGATGCCTGGCAAGTTAGGGCCTGCTACACAGACACACACTGCAGAAAACTGTTACGTCTCATGTACAGGGATCCAAAAGACATAGTAACATCATATTTATTTGAAGTATGAAAATGACAATACAGTTCAAAAAATACTTTTATTGTATTCCTAGAAACTTGTCTAATTAACATACTTCCTGCAACAGCTTATTACTTTTGAAAGCAAAGTTGATGGTTAACAGAAACATGTATGTATCTTACTTCTTGACTGAGATATTTCACTGTATAATGTCAGAATTGTTTCTGTAAGCTGTCACTACTTAATATTCTTACTGAAATGTTTTGCTTTTTGAGGAGCTTCATGAACACAGATATAACTTCCCCAAGGCTCCCAGAAGATAAATATTATTTCTATTGTAGTCCAAAATGTTTTAATGCAATGCAAACAATGCAATACAATTGAAAATGCAAGTCAACAAAGGAGCAGTCACAACCTCAGCTCACTTGAAATAAGACTTCTTTAAAGTAAAAAGTTAAAAAAATACATTCCTGGAGTTTTGCTTCAAATTACCAAGTAGTAGCAAAATATTCTAGATCTTTGTCAATGCAAAACTTTGTTTCCCTACCTTAATTTTAGCTCTATAAATTACAGTTTATTAACAGGTAAGTATAGTGGGCCCAGGATACTAAGTATTTGGTTAATAAATTCTTATCACTACCTTCATTTAAATTGTTTGGTGAAGAATATGAAAACTAAAGTTGCAGTGCAACTAGGGCAACTATTCTCTTCATTCAACACACCTCAGCTATTGACTTTGACTTAAAAATAAGAAACCTGCTCTCAGACAGATTTGTCAGAGGACTAATGTAGAGGCTCCTGGAAAAAAAACACCACCATCCATTTTGTAAGTCACACAGATATTATTTATACTTTTGGGCTCTTTTCCCTTAGTAAAGATGTATCTGCTCCATGTGACAATGATTTGGCACATACGCTTGACAAAAGACAGAGACTTTTAACAATAGTAGACAGTCATGTGAGGTTAGACAGAACTACAAAATTTAAAATACAGTAGAGCTAGCAATTACCAGGCATCAGAGCCCATTCTTACTCTTGCTTTAAACTGAATATAATTTTGAATCCTAGGTTGCAGGAAGAATATCAGACCTCAGTTGCTTTGTCAAAAGAAAAGTTGTTTGATGAAGTATCATCTACCGGTTGTTTGTTTCTCCCAGTTTCCCCCAGTCTATATGTTTCTTAGTATGAAGAAAAAAAATCAAGCACTTTCTCCCGAGTTTCTACTTGCACAGCTATGCCAATAACAATAACATCAGGCTATTTAAATAATGAATGACATAAAATAGCATGCAAAAATGTTTGCTATTATCTAGTGGACAGGAAATCAACAAACATGTCTAAATTAGCTGATTTTGTTTCTGTGACGTTTCTGAGCTGCTAAATATTAATTTAACTCCTTTCTTTTCCATATAAAAGCATGGTGATTATTATAACAGACTGTTCCATCAAGAAATAATTAGCCTTGTATTAAGATGGTCTCATTAGAGGTTGCCAGTGACCTTGTTCTAAATTCTAGAGTTCCATCATCTTTTAATAGCATTAAAAGCATCATCTAAGAATTTGTATTAAGTTCTAAAAATTACGTTGTGAATATAACCCATACAAATGCTAGAACATCATAGCTTTGACCACTGAATTACCCAAAAGTCGTATTATCTGTTGCTTTGTATTCTGTAAATTTCTTTCTTACCAAAATGCTTTGAGTAACTGAAATGTGATGATGACTTACAAGCAACAAGTTTGTTTACACCGTTCTCCTGGGAAACTTTAGCCACCATACCTGGCAAAGCTGATACCATAAGAAAGAGCACAGGTACTGGCAGATTTTGAAGGGAATATGAATTTTAAATGACAAGCTGATTTTGTAAACATCCTGTCTGCTATCATGATTCAGCATTGTTTGGAAAAGAAACAAAAAACATGACATTGTGTTGTCAGAGATTGTTCTGGACAAACAATTTTGACAAAATAGGAACTGACTGAATCATTGGTGAAATTTTGAACAGAAAGACTACTCATTATTTTCACAAATTGGGATAATTTGAAAAGGTATCTATTATCTTTTTCAATCCCATAACACACTTCTTTTGATGAAGGCCATCCCTGTCAGTTGATTACAGCTGCTGAACAGAATAAACTCTTATCTTCAACGGTCAGATTAAGACCTCACCTGATGTACAGTAAGGAATTTTGCTATTGTACCCATCTGACCCAAAGATGTATGAGAATTAGGTACAGATACACCAGAGGACTTGGGGACTCAGCACCACAAAAAGCAACGTACTTATCTCTTGTAATAAAGCATGAAACGAAATTGCAGCTGTGCAGGTAATCAGCTCACACAGAGCTATGATCCCACTGTGAGAGCAAATGCAGTAGACTTGAGTAGAGCAATCATTTGAAGCCTAAGAAAGAGAAAAAAAGACTAATATCTGATGATTCCTCATCTAAATGGCATATTAACAGGAATAAAGACATGGCTGAGACATGAAAAATCTGCCTGATAGGAAGATGCACCCAGAAGAAGGGAGATGAGGCAGTAGGCTGGAGGAAGCCGAATATCAAGGACATGATAAAGAAATGAATGCCTTTAGGTAAAAAATTACCAAATTCAAAGACAACTGCACCAATCTGCTGAATCATACATGATTGATCAGTTGCTATCTTTGGTTTGTAGCTGCTGAACAGAAAATAAAAGATGAAGACTGATAAAGTGTGGGTGTGAAGATTTTTAAAGTTTGAATCAATATCAGGACACTTAGTTCCCATGAGTCATGAGGGAAAAAAAATCCTTAGCTTCTCATACCTCCAATGTTCTAAAAAATAAGACAATTAAGATTGAATG